TGTAATTGCAATGCAAAAATATTCTTATAGAGAACCTAGGCATCAGGTCTATTTTTTCATAGGGAGGAGATTTTGCCTGCTTTTCCCTCCAACAAGGTGGAGCCATCTTTGTTTAGGCATCGTCGATAGTCAGCATTTACTTACTGAGATACTGTCAAGTAAATGCTGGTGTCTATGCAGTTCTTGGCTGTGTTCACAAATGTCTGACACAGATTAGCCCCCTGCTGCTGCTCTCACCTTGTGACCTGCTACATAGAAACAATGTTACCATGTGATTAGTAGGGAAGAGGAGACTGAAAATAAGCTTTCTCCTACCTGCAGGAGCATGACCTTGGCCTAGATAGAGCCATTTGTCTGCAACTAACAAACCCGTTAAAACAAAAAAAAAATGTCAGTTTGCCCTTTCATTACAGCACACAGGTCCGGGACAAGGGGTGGGCAGGAGGGACAGCTGCCCTGGACGCAATGGATTTCTGTAGGGATGGGGGCACCTTCCTTCTGTTGCAAGGCTGACAGGTGTAGTGACAGTGGGAATGATTTTGAAAAGTGAGTGACTGCTGGGTGTAGGATCCCCTATGCTTGCATATCATGAATGGGATGGGGGTGCAGTTTGGCATCTTTGCCCTGGGACCTGGAAGAGCTTGTTCCGGCACTTACAGCACATATCTTATACTGATCAATCTACATTGTTCCTTTCTGTACAGTGCATACACTATATTGCCAAAAGTATTGGGACGTCTGCCTATAACAGCTTCAACTCTTCTGGGAAGGCTGTCCAAGAGGTTTAGGAGTGTGTCTATGAGAATGTTTGACCATTCTTCCAGAAGCGCATTTGTGAGGTCAGGCACTGATGTTGGACGAGAAGGCCTGGCTCTCAGTCTCCGCTCTAATTCATCCCAAAGGTGTTCTATCGGTTTGAGGTCAGGACTCTGTGCAGGGCAGTCAAGTTCCTCCACCCCAAACTCGCTCATCCATGTCTTTATGGACCTTGCTTTGTTGGTGTGCAGTCATGTTGGAACAGGAAGGGGCCAGCCCTAAACTGTTCCCACAAAGTTGGGAGCATGAAAATGACCTAAATGTCTTGGTATGCTGATGCATTAAGAGTTTCCTTCACTGGAACGAAGGGGCCAAGCCCAACCCCTGAAAAAAACAACCGTACACCATAATCCCCCCTCCACCAAACTTTACACTTGGCTCAATGCAGCTAGGCAACTACCGTTCTCCTGGCAACTGCCAAACCCAGACAAGTCCACTGGATTGCCAGACAGAGAAGCAAGATGGTCACTTCAAAGAACACATCTCCACTGCTCTAGAGTCCAATGGCAGCATGCTTTACACCACTGCATCTGAAGCTTTGAATTGCACTTGGTGATGTAAGGCTTGGATGCAGCTGTTCGGCCATGGAAACCCATTCCATGAAGCTCTCTATGCACTGATGTTGTGCTAATCTGGAGGCCACATGAAGTTTGGAGGTCTTTAGGTATTGACTCTGCAGACAGTTGGCAACTTCTGCGCACTGTGCGATTCAGTATGCGCTGACCCCACTCTGTCACACTTTGTGGCTGAGTTTCTGTTGTTCACAGTTGCTTCCACTTTGTTATAATACCACTAACAGTTGACCGTGGAATATTTAGTAGCAAGGAAATTTCACGGCTGGTGTAGAATATTTGTAGAGGTAGTCTGCATGCCTAGGTGCTTGATTTTATACTCCTGTGGCCATGGAGGTGATTGGAACACCTGAATCCAATGATTTGGGGGGTGTCGCAATACTTTTGGCAATATAGTGTATCTTATACCGATCAGTCTAGTACAGGGGTTGTCCAAACTTTTTTCAAAGAGGGCCAGATTGGATGAAGTGAACATGGTGGAGGGCCGAAAAAATTTTTTCCGAACATTCTTTGATCCATTACAATTAAATGCAAATAAATTATTTTATGCCAAGTTAATTGCAAACGACATACTTTTCATTTCATAACATTAAGATCAACTGACAGCTGAGTTTTCACAATGTATTGAAAATAAATAAAAAAAAAAAAAACTTTCCTGCACTAAGTGCTAATGTGAGGTGAAAAAGGTAGCTGGAGCTGAAGTCTCTGCTCCGCAGCCGGTGAGGGGATAGAGACACAACTTCACGCTGGAAGCCTGGCCCTGACGTCACCGCCCTCTGTCGCTCCCAGCGCGGCGCAGTCACGCATGCACACTGGTCTCTCAAGCAGAAGACTGTCTGCCACAGAAGGGAGGGGGCCGTGCGACAGCAGACCGCATTTACACAGACCAGGGAGAACGCGCCGCAGTCAGGCATGCGCACTGCCCTCTGCTCTCAAGCAGAAGACTGTCTGCCATAGAAGGGGAGGGCCGTGGGAGGGCCACATTACACAGAGGCAGGGAGGGCTGTTGGAGGGCCGTATTAAACCGACCCCCGGGCCGAAAATGGCCCGCGGGCCAGACTTTGGACATGCCTGGTCTAGTACCTTCTACCTCCATCTGTCATATTTGAAAGAAAAAAGTATCTAGTTGTAACAGAACATATCAATTTTTACCTGAAATGCATCCAAATTGGCCTGTCTAGTTTTAAAATTAAAATCACTGTTAATGAGCGCAACTTTTGGAATCTATTCAGTTTTTTCTAAGCCTGAGAAACTACAGCACATGGTACAGCAACCTATTTGAAAGCTCATGGCACTGCTTGCAGTAAAGATTTATTCTGGCCAGTGACCCATTATGCATGGGCACCATGCCAGTCATTCACTGCATGCCACAAGCCCCAAAGACTTGTAGAGAACCCTACCCCTGGCTATGTAAGTGTACATATAAATAAAAGTCTTCCATAGTGAATTAAACTATTATGATTAAGTGTTTCATCTTTATACAGTACAGTGATAAAGATGATTAAAAATACATTTAGTCATTTTTACATGGCACAAATTGTTTCCCAGAATACTTTGGAGGTAATGCAGCATACACATGCCTTTGATGAGATTCAGGTACATTGTGCCATCTGGTGGCCACAGGCTTTATTACATAGCATTACAGTATAATCAGGAAGGTTACTAAGAGCGTCAAAAAAGTGTAGCTCTGCAATCTTGCACTGGTGAGAACTAACAGGCTAGACGCAGCTGTATGCAAGCTGGAGACTTGGCTTTATATTTTAAACTGTGAATATGCTATAAACTAGTATTTCTGGCACATTTGGCCCCTGCAGCATATAGGAATCGTTGCACTAGCTCTGCCCATTATTTTTTTAGGAATAAATCTTTGTCTTTGTGACAGTAATGGCATGTACTGTAAATACCTTCAGTAAAACACTACTGTACTTTGTAAAACATTATGTATATAGTTTCAGTTTAATCTCTACCTGATCGTATAATACATATATGCAGTGGCGGGATAAGTGCACTTTAATGCCCAGCTGCAACACATATGCGCCCCTTGTGGTCTATGGTAGTCCAATTGTGGCTGCACCGATTACAGTGGTCATATGACTGGGTGGCCACTGAAGCCTCCCTGTATTAAAGGAACTGAAAGTGTTACTAAACCCAGGACTCTGCATTCACTCTATCTGGCATAGAAATGCTATTATTTTAGTAAATATAAACTGCTAAATACATTTTCTCATCAGAAGGTACAGCAGTCTTGTGACTTCTATCAGTTTCCAGCAGAGCACTGGTTAAAGCTTGTAGGAGGCGTTTTCTTTCTGCTTTAAGTGGATGCAGAACCCATGGCCACATTTCACATTCCACTCTCCTAAGACAAAAAAAACCTCTCTAGGAATACACACCAAACTGAGCATGTGCAAAGTGTCTCCACATGATATGTCTTATCAGGAGATAAGAGGGGGGCACTGGAAGAAGGGGAGGATCAGAGAAGTCAGGGTCAAACAGCATTTTTACACAATGCAGAGGATTAACCCCTTAGGTTCCACAGTGAGTATAACAAGCATGCTTTACTTCATACACAGACTGATTTTACTGTTCTGGGTTTAGTAACACTTTAAGGGGCTGCAGTGAGGAATGAGCAAAAAAGTACAACACTGAATTAATTTCAACAAACTATGTAAATCAGTGAAAAAATGTCTATCTTGTCAATTCTCCTGGTTGTTAATGCTATATAGCAAACACTACATCTGTAAGAAAGTGCAACCAGTTTTTAGTTCTCTGTGCTCCATTGTAGTCAGAATGTATACAGCTATTCACATGTAGGATAGATACAGTACATCTCATTCCAGAGGGCATTGATCTAGATTTTCTCTCTCTGGTCCATTAGAAATCAGATTCAAATTTGGTTATTCCTCACTTCTCCAGATGGCCGAGAGGGGTGTCCTGTTTTGTGCAATTCCCTTACCTTCCAGTTACAGCAACCCTCACCCATTTCCTCTTTCCTTTTGCTTTAATATGCCAGTATTTACTATATAATGGTTGTACATTTCCCATTAGATCCCAGAAAGGCCTCAAGACTGCAAAGCCACCGATGGTGGGGACCTTCTAGGCTATGTTTGCTTGGGGGGATGGTATAATAGTTCCCCTCTTCTCTTTCCTTGGGTGGGCACAACTTTTTCTGTTTTTTTTAAAACTGTTTTTTTCTATGTCTGTATCTTTAGGATGTTTGTAAGATCAAAAGTTGTAAAGTTCAGAACATTTCTTTCTACTTGCTTATCATGGTCCAGTTATTCTTTGTGGACTGTGTGAATATGCTGACTTAAATAAAGAATTAAAAAAAAAAAAAATCAGACTCAAATGATAAATTTAAATAACTAACTGTCATACAATTTAAGTGTAACCATGTTAGTTACACTAATTACTTTAACCTTTTTGCTGCCCTTGACATATATCATAATTCAGCAGCAAGGAGGGTTCAACACACACACACACACTCCTGGCTGCTGTAGTAGCATACATGTGAATCTCACAAGCCCACTGTTGGCACTCTGATAGAAGGGACTGGGAAGCTGTATAGCTGCCTGCTTGCTTCCAGAGATTAATTGTATTGTAATTGGTCATTACCTGATTTTGCAGCTGACTAACATGGTCAACTAGCAAGGTCTTGTCTCTCCATAATTCTGTGTTGATTTCCTCTTCTTTGGCCAAAACAGCTTTCAGCTCAGCAATCTGACTACTCATAGTATTTGTATTTAGATCTTGAAGTGTGTTGCCACTCAGGAGCAAGTTAATCTGTAACATGGAAAATAAAACTGAAACAACAACTATTTATTTGGTTGAACACCAAGGGCATGTAATGTATTTGGTTTCTTTTTAAACAATTTTAGATACTGTATATTTTTTTAAAATATGGCACATTCATTGTCTAACAATAACAAAATATTATTTAAACTTGCACACACACACATTACATCTGTATCTTTTTACAGTATCTTTAGGTTTTCTATCAGTTATGCAGTGTGAAAACCTCCAAGGCCAACCAAGGCAGAGGCAAGAGTGGTTCCTGCCTTGAGCTCTGTGCTGGGAGAATTGCAGCTACTGTAGCAATATGTTATATTGCTGTGTATGGCCTCTAGGGGGTCTCACTACTTAGATACTGGTACAACTGTGTTATTCCCTCTCTTTGGTTGTAGTTCTTATGCAGACACATGTATAATGGCAGCTAGGAGCATCTAATAAAATGTCTCTGTTAACTACAGTGTGTGAGCATCTGAGCAGGATCCACTAACAGAACAGCTACGACCAGAGTCTCTCCTGCCCGTTTGTTATCCCCAGTCATATCCAACACTGTGCTGCATTGAGCTGTCAGACTTAGAGCTCATTCATGCAGATTACCCTGGAAAAGCACTGTATAATAAGTCCTGACACTGTTCCTGATACAGAGCTCAGCAGTCCAGCTGCCAAAGTGACTACAGTACTCTGTTGATTACACCAGGAGAAACACTCTTCCTGTCATCTGCAGAGCTCGGCTGTCAGTGTGACAAACCTGCTCCTCACTTTTTTATATAATTTAAGGCTACTCTTGTAGCATTCATTCATAAACCACTGGTATTTGTATATATGTTACTATTATTTGTAGAATGTATTAAAAAAAGTTTCTTCTTTATACAAAACGTTAGGTCCTTGTGGGCTTAATAACCCTTTGGGTAACCCTAATTATTTTTTTTTACTAACTTCTTCATATCCTTAACTTAGGGGTGTAGTTATAAAAATGCATAGAAATTTGACCAGTAAAAGTGCAAGTACATTTGTTCTGTATGAATGGGGCAATAAACAGGTTTAGGTTATCTCCTGTGCCTTTTGTATGTTTTAATTACTTAAAATGGAAAATGACACATTTGGCCACTAGATGGCCCTAAGTACCACAGGAAATTCCTTTTAACCTTAGCGCCTTCTAATGGCCAAATGCAATCTTTTTTTTTTTAACATTTTATGTCAATTAAAGACATTTGAGCAGCACAGGAAACAATCTAATATAATTTTCTTTCTCCAGATTTTGCACTCTCCAGTTTTAGTAAACAAGAACAAAAAGAGGAAAGCTCCAAAAGGACATAGGTTCTAACCCTTACCTGTTCTATTCAAAGCTAGAAAAAACATTTTGGGTATATTTTTCTTGCCTTCCTTGTCTTTGTGCTGTAATTACCTGCTCCATCAGATCTTTTAAATGTTCCTTCTCTTGTAACAGAAGAGCCTCCTGCCACTTTAGCTCCTTGCTCAGCTGCCCTTCTCTGTCCTTGACACTTAGAAGCTGAGCAACACTAGAAGAGTTATGAGTATAATTCTCTTCTTTCAGTTGTCTCTGCTGGAAATCAAAAAGTAGTACTGTTAATATATACTGTATTACCCGCTGCTATCTCTCACTATCTGGCAAACATTACAGTATGACAAAATTAAAGTTATATACAATTCTGAATGGAAAAATATTTTGCAGTTATCTGCGCCAATTTAGCAATTTTAGAAAACTACTTTCTCACCAGGGTCTGGTGACGTCTATGCGTTCTAGACTTCAGGCTGTAATTGACTGCAAAGGATTTGCAACGAAGTATTAAAAAGTGAAAGTTTGATTTATGATTATTATTCTGTCCCATTACTTTTGGTCCCTTAACAAGTGGGAGGCACATATGCAAACTGTTGTAATTCCTACACCGTTCACCTGATTTGGATGTAAATACCTTCAAATTAAAGCTGACAGTCTGCAGCACATCTTGTTTGTTTCATTTCAAATCCATTGTGGTGGTGTATAGAGCCAAAAATGTTAGAATTGTGTCGATGTCCCAATATTTATGGACCTGACTGTATATATACACATACATATTTGATTTTAAAACTGAGGAAATATACCATTTTCAGAAAAAACTAAGGTAAAATTGATGGCAGCAACATGTCTAAGAAAATCAAGACAGGACAAAAAAAAGCTGGCAAAATATGTGGTAGTACGAGGAAGATCTGGAAGAACATTTTGCAACAGGTCAGTAACATGACTGGGTATAAAAAGAGTATTTTAGAGAGTCAGAGTGTCTCAGAAGTAAAGATGGACAGAGGTCCAATCTGTAAAAGCTGCATCTAAAAATTGTAGAGCATTTTCAGAATAATATTTTTCAATGTAAAATTGCAAAGACTTTAAATATGTCATTATCTACAGTACATAATATCGTCAGAGAATCTGGAGAAATCTCTTCGTGCAAGAGACAAGGCTGAACAGCAATACTGGATACCTGTGATCATTGGGCCCTCAGATGGCACTGCATTAAAAACTGGCATGATTCTGTGATGGACATCACTGCACTGAATGGGTTTAGGATTACTTCCAAAAATCACTGTCTGTGAACACAGTTAGCTGTGCAATCCAAAAGATGCAAGGTAAAGCTATATCCAGAAACAGCACCATGTTCTCTGAGTTAAAGAAGAATTGCAGGCAAAATTGTTATTTTCCCATGCAGTGGAGCTGTGCCTGCACGGCTTGGGTTAAATGCTTGTTTTTGTCTACGGGCTAGGAAAACAAAGATATACTTACCTAATCCACCAATCCTTTGAGTGCAAGACTGATCCCCGCTGCTCCTGCCCCCCACACACTAGCGGTCTTGTGAATGGGCTGTTCCTGACATCATCACACCCATAGACCAGCTCCAGATGTGAGAACGGCAGGAACAGTCCACTGCTAAATGTGGGGGAGCATAGTTTTCCATCGGATTGGAGGACGGGGCAAGTATAGCTTTTCCCTAAACCCCCTAGACAAATGAACATTTAACCATGCAGTGTGGGCACAGCCCCACTGCATGGGAAAATAAAAGTTCTGACTGGAGGTCTAGTTTAAAGCTCATATAAAATGGACTGTTGCAAGGTGGAAAACTGTTCTGTGGTTAGACAGATCAAAATTTGACATTCTTTTTTGGCAACCATGGGTACCATGTCTTCCAGAATAAAGAGAAGAGGGACCCTCTGGCCTGTTATCAGTGCTCAGTTCAAAAGTCTGCATCTCTGATGGTATCGGGATGCTTATTAGTGTGCATGGAATGGGGAGCTTGCACATATAGAAAGGCACAATCAATGCTGAAAGATATATCCAGGTTTTAAAGCAGCATATACTACGATCTAGAGAACATCTTTTTCAGGGAAGGCCTTGAATATTTCAGCAGGATAATGCTAAAACACATGCTGCATCTATGACAACAGCATTGCTTCATAGTAGAAGAGTCTGGGTGCTTTACTGGCCTGCCTGCAGTCCAGACCTTTTACCAATTGAAAATATTTGGCACATCCTGAAACGAAAAATACACCAAAGGAGTCCCAGGACTTTTGAGCAGTTAGAACCCTAAATCAGGCACAAATGGGACAACATTCCTCTCCCAAAACTCCAGTAACTGGTCTCCTCAGTTCCCAGTCATTCACAGAGTGTTTTTAAAAGAAAAGTGGATACTTCATTATGGTAAACATGGCCCTGTCTCAACTTTTTGAGATATGTTGCTGTCATCATAATTTCCCGTATTTTCCTTAAAATCGTACAATTTCTCAGTTTAAACATTTAATGTTTTCTATTGTAAATAAAATATGGGTTTATGAGATTTACAAATTACTGCATTCTGTTTTTATATAGATTGTACACAGCCTCCCAACTTTCTTTGGAATTGGGAAGATTATATATATATATATATATATATATATATATATATATATATATATATATATATATATATATAATTTGTTCGCACATACTATTGCATGCCATACTTGCTAAGAGAGTACTGTATGTTATGTGTATCATGAGTCAGTTATTCTACATTAACATGTTTAGTATTCTAAAACTACATCTGTTGCTTGGCAATCTGAGAGGTCAATATAAGTGGGAGTCAAGAGAGAAAGCAAGAGAGAAAGCAAGAAACACCTAAGTGTCCCTCCCATTTAATCATGTACCAGTGCAATACAGGAAGAAGAAAAACAGCTTGTCATTGGAATGATCTTGAGTACTGACACATTAAACTCTTAATTTATTTTTTTCTGACATGGATGTTATAGTGTATGGATGTTGTAGCGTATGCTTACAAAGTGACTGAGGACAGGCTATAATGCATTTGTTTATTTTCTAACTGAATAAAAAAGAAGGTCTGGGTTTTTCAAAATTTTTTCCCTGGAAAATCAATCATTAAAAGCGGAGTTCCACTCACTCTGTAAAAAAATAAAAGTCAGCAGCTACAAAAACTGTAGCTGCTGACTTTTAAAAAACAGCCACTCACCTGTCCCACAATCCCGCATTGCCCCCACTGCAGCCTGTTTCACCAGCCATCTTGTATTCCAGGCGCCGGCATCTTCAGTGTGGGCACCCGGCTCTGACAGCTTGCAGCTTCACAGCCGGGTGCCCACTGCTCATGCGTGAGTAGTGCTGCACTTCCTGAATGGCCCAGTCGTCTTCTGGACCCGTCACTTGTCCCACAAGACTTCAGGGAGGGAGGGTAGGAGGACAACTTCTGTTTCCGATCGCCTAGGCAATCGCAGCATAAGTGGGAGCGGGTACATGTCAAATTCGGGTACCCGTTCCCCCCCACTCCCCAAAGGTGCCAATCCTTAATGGGGAGCGGGGGGGGACCAATCTTTAAAGCGGAAATTCCCCTTTTGGGTGGAACTCAAAGACCGTTGGCAATATAAAAGGCCATTTTCAATGTAGATCCAGTTTTCATAATCCATTATTTAGGGAGCTTTTTAAATTAATATTTATTTGGGACTGATGTTTACATTTTGGTTAGACAGCCAAACTTTATAGTTTAAAGTGGCACCAAATGCAAAATCACAATTGACAAATGAGATGCATTGGGGTTGATTTACTAAAACTGATGCAGTCAGTCTGTGCATGGTAAACAATCAGCTTCTAACTTCAGCTTGTTCAATTAGACTTTGGCAATAAAACCTAAAAGCTGACAGGCAGATGGGTTACTTCATCAGTCACAGCCAGGCTATGAATTTTGGAAATCCCTCAGGTTCAGTTTAAGGAAGAAATAATTAAAGTTTGGTCATAATAGCATCTGATGCAATGATCTTACCATTTCCAGTTGCTTGATAATTTCCAATAACTGAGCCTGCAATACACTATTTTCACTATTAAGGGATGCACAGTCATCCATCATTTTCTTTCGCAGAACACGGTCCTGTTCAGACTGCAGATCTTTCTCTCTAAGCTGCTGGTGAAGGAAGCTTATTTCATTCCTAGAAGTCAAAGTATATAGACATTTTGTAAAAGCCTTATATGCTTCTCTACAAAGCAAAGAGGTTGACATTACCAACTTTGTTGGAATTAAATACAGTGTAACCTCCTTGCATCAGTCTGCTGATGCATAAAGTCCGCTTGCTACTGTAAGCATGTTCCTTGTGTTAGAAAACTGTGCGCAATGCAATAGAACCTTATTGACTGATACTGATGCTCTGCCCTTTCCCAGTCTGAATATTTGGCTGCAGAAGGTTACATGAAGTTTGTTGATATAAAGGCAGATTCATGTGCGAATACCAGCTGTATTTAACCACTTCCAGTCCGGACACTTTTACCCCCTTCCTGACCAGGGCAATTTTCAGCTTTCAGTGCTATCGCACTTTGAATGACAATTGTGCGGTCATGCAACACTGTACCCATATGAATTTTTTACCATTTTTTTGAGACAGATAAAACTTTATTTTGGTGGTATTTATTCACCGCTGGGATTTTTAATTTTTTTTTGCTATGTAACTGAAAATGTCCAAAAATGTTTTAAAAAAGTGTATTTCTTATAAAATTTTGCAAATAAATAATATTTCATCATACATCTTGGCCAACATTTATTCCGTTATCTTTTTAGTAAAAAAAAAAAATAATAAGCCAAAATTAGTTTATAACCAAAAATTATAATGTTTAAATATTTTTTTTTTTACATATTATTATTTATTTTATTATTATTTTTTTTTTTACATACTGTCACCCTGGCAGTACAGTGTCACCATGGTGACACTGTACTACTTTTGGGGGGTGATGAAGATTTTCTTTTTTTTTTTTACACTGATTGCTTTTACATCCATATAGGATGTAAAAGCAAACATTTCTCTTTCTTTCTGTCTGCATTTTTGCAGCCATTGAGAACTACAGAGTGAGTTGTGATTGGTCACAGCTTGTCACATGGTACAAGGCTGTTGTGAATAGCCTTGTACCATGTGACCTATGTGATCATTCACAGATTTCACACGTAGTAAGCAATGATGTCAGAAGTGACATCTTGCTTACTACTTTGCATGTGATCACTGATTGACCAATCAGTGATCACATGATCGGGTCTTCGTATAGAGGTCCTGTCCGACGATCAGTGTTTCACTGTGTCTGGAGGGGAGCGCACACAAGTAGGGTGCGGGAGGCCGTTTATAAACGGCCACCCGACCCTGAACTGCCACCGTCTGGCCGTTTATATACAACGGCCGGTCGGGAAGTGGTTAACACCCTAAGTCCTCATGCAAACTTGACATTTTTACAGCTGCTGTTTTTGATTTGTAAACTTTTTTCTACAGCTAGTAAACCCCCCAGCATGTTATCCTATGTGTCCATGCACTCAGACTATAATCAACGTTTTTTGGCTGGAATAAAAACCCAGGACTAGTGGGTTTCTAGAAGAGTTTTCTAGCTGCAAAAATGCTCTAATGCTGAAAAACGCAGCCAAACGTAGTAAAACGTGTGTCTGTACCAAGGTCAAACATTCCAGGGTATGTAAACTTTTGTTCATGGCTATTTGGGTGATTTCTGGTATCATTATGATTTAAAAAGAAGCCAAACAACTATTTGATAATAAATGGCTTCATATGATCATCATCCTTCAATAAAAGAGCATTTTTTTGGTTTGATTAGCCATATTTTCAATATCAATGCCAACATTTTACAATTTCTGCCAGGGTATGCAAACTTTGAAGCACAACTGTATTTATAAAGCCATGAATCTGACATAACTACATGTCTACCTACAAATTTTTCATTTTTTTAAAATACAAATTTGACATTCTTTCTTCTGAGCCGTTGATTTAGTATTTTTTTTTCACTCAAAGAATATCATTCACATCATATTACACACGTTAAACAGTTTTAGTTTGACTTTTGTTTGTGTGTATATCTGGGTAATTTATGTGAAAACGGGTCTCTGCACTATATATACACAATGATCACACAGACAGAATTTTTTACCTTAAATCAAGTGTCAGTTGGTTGTTGGCTGTTGCTGTGTGTTTAATCAGTTTATCCTCCATTTCATGCCTGGCTGAATTTGCCTTCAGCAGCTCAATTCTCTTCTGTGACAGCTGGTTTTCCACCTCTTTCTGATTTTCCAATCTTTGCTTTAGCTATTTAAAAAAAATGGAAAAGCCCAACAACACACTGACATCAGAAATGTTCCAACTTTTAATAACAATAAAAGCAGTTCAGTGGTTGAACTGGCAATTGTTTACTTCATTACGAACTCTAACTCAAAGGCTAATCCGTAAGTCTGGCCATATATGCAGCAATTTTCAAGCAATCTATACTACTTTCAATCTGCAACTGTTACTGGTAGGTTGCAGTGACCACTTTCTTCTTGTTTAGGACTAAAAGCTGGTAGCTAGTTAAAAGTGGTTGAATTTGCAGGAAATTAATATTTGTATGACTTTATGAGCTAGATTTATACATTTCTCAAGTGTGATTGCTCCACAATGATCAGTTTTTCACCACATGGATTTTATTATTTGTTTGTTTCTACAGTGAAGGAAATAAGTGTTTGATCCCCTGCTGATTTTGAATGTTTGCCCACTCACAAAGAAATTATCAGTCTAAAAATCGAATGGTAGGTGTATAGTAACACTGAGAGACAGAATAGCAAAAAAAAAATTCAAAAAAAATACATGTCTAACAAATTATGCACCGATTTGCATGTTCATGAGGGACATAAGTATTTGATCCCCTATCATTCAGCAGGATTTCTGGCTACCGGGTGGCTTTCATACAGGTATCAAGCTGAGATTAGAAGCAGACTCTTAAAGGGAGTGCTGCTAATCTCATTTTGTTACCTGTATAAAAGACACCTGTCCACAGGAGCAATCAAACAATCGGATTCCAAACTCTCCACCATTGTAAAGACCAAAGAGCTGTCCAAGGATTTCAGGAACAAGATTGTAGACCTACACAAGGCTGGACTGGGCTACCAAACTATTGCCAAGCAGCTTGGTGAGAAGGTGACAACAGTTGGTGCAATCATTCGCAAATGGAAGAAACACAAAACAACTGTCAGCCTCCCTAGGTCTGGTGCACCATACAAGATCTCACCTGGATGAGGAGGAATACTAACTATGACCCCAAGAACACCATCCCAACTGTCAAACATGGTGGTGGAAACATTCTGCTTTGGGGGGGTTTTTCTGCTAAGGGGACAGGACAACTGCACCGCATCAAAGGCATGATGGACGGGGCAATGTACCATCAAATCTTGGGTGAAAACCTTCTTCCCTAGCCAGGGCATTGAAAATGGGTCGTGGATGGGTTGTTCCTAGCCAGTCTCTAGACCTTAATCTGATTGAAAATCTGTGAAGGGAGCTGAAAGTCGAGTTGCCAAACGTCAGCCACCAAACCTTAATGATTTGGGAGAGGATCTGCCAAGAGGAAAGGGCCAAAATCCCTTCTGAGATGTGCGCAAACCTGGTGGCCAACTACAGGAAACATCTGACCTCTGTGGTTGCCAACAAGGGATTTGCCATCAAGTACGAAGTCATGTTTTGTGAAGAAGATCAAATACTTATTTCCCTCATGAACATGCAGATCAGTGCATCATTTGTTAGACATGCATTTCTTTTGAATTTTGTGTTGCTATGCTGTCTCTCAGTATTACAATCCACCTACCATTTGAATTTTAGACTGATCATTTCTTTGTGAGTGGGCAAACATTCAAAATCAGCAGGGGATCAAATACTTATTTTCTTCACTGTGTATGGTCAATATCATGAATATAGAAATGTACCGTAAACTCAACTCTGCATTATTGGCTCTATAGGACTTTAAGGTTCTAAAGGCTGAAAGTTTTTTTACCTTCATGCATTCTATGCATGAAAGTAAAAAAAAAAACTTTCATTGTGCAGCTCCCCCACCACCCCCCTTATACTCACCTGAGCCCAATCCCCATCCAGTAATGTGCATGACAGCAAAAGCTCTCCCGGTCTCTGTTTCTCAGTGGCTGAGAGACAGCAACAGAAGCCATGTTATAGACACACAGAGGCAGCTCGGGAGTGAGCATGCATGACTGCCCCCGTAGCAAGTGGGTTGCTCTGGGGGCACTCATCAGTGAGGAGGGGCCTGGTGCGCCATCAGGGGCCCCAAGAAGAGGAGGATCAGAGCTGTTTTGTGCAAAACCATTGTACAGAGTAGGTAAGTATTTTGTTATTTATAAAAAAAATGGAACCTTTACAAATCTTTAAATGATTTAGGCATCATGCATATACCATTTTAATATATGCTCATTCTTGCAGGATTATCATTTTATAAATAGTCTAGCATACCTAGTGGAGTACACTTTTGAATGATCAACAACAGTAAAGATGCTCATATAAGAGGCCGATGAAAACACACAGGTCATCCAATTTGACAATCATTCTATGTGTGGAATACAAAGAACTGACCCACTAAATTCACATGAACATATTTTAGAGGGGATGGATAACAGAGTCATATGATGACCAGATCTGTCTATGCATTCACCATGCAGCTTTTTCTTCCCTTGTTCCCGCTGCTAGTTGTGATTGCAAGTTAAAAGACAAGTAGAAGGGGTCTGCCCCACCAATCTATCTGCAGTTTGCAGACTTGCTGGACAGATGTCATTTTATCTTGGCCTGGCCAATCAGGATGACAAGACTCTGAGCCCTGGTTCACACTGATGTGGTGCGGAATTTGCAGCATTTTTCAGTGTGAATTGCACACCGCATCAAAATCGCACCCCGTTCATGCGAACCGATGCGGGTGTGTATGTTAACAACACCCCAAAATCGGTCTGCAAAACGGAGTGCGATGTTCAGAATCGAATTGCATAGGTGTGAATAACCATGCGATCCAATTCTAGTGCGGACCCAAAAAAGGGTCCTGCACCTTTTTGGTGCGGGTGCGGTGCGATTTGAGCCATACATAATGTATGGCTCCGATCGCACCGCACACAAATTGCATGTTATTTGCACAGGAATGAGGTGTGGTTCCTGTGAGAATCACATGTGATATACCGTACCGCATATATGTGAACCCAGGCTAAATGTTAAAAAACACCAGGTGAAGATGAGACTGTTGAAAAGGGCATCACAAAATAAGCATGTCATAATAATTTGCATATATGCTCAGCATACTTACACATTTTTTTGCAAAAGCCCCTGGAGGCCCCAACATTTCTAACAGTTTAATTCCACTTTAAAATTAGGCATACATCTAGAGATATCCCGCTGATGTTATCTGTATAGCTGTAGCATCTACATGTTCTAAACATTGACACCAAATTTGCATAAAATGGTAGGTATTCTCTGGCTGCATATATGGGCTTGAGATTCAGGGGGACCTCATTTACTTTTTTGTGCTGGTTGGTAGGCTGCAGTCTTTCCAGTGTAGCAGTATCAACTTATGTCAATTATTTAAAAGCATAGGTTACCTAAACAGTATTACCCACTTCAGCCTCTGCAACATGCCAGGTTGAAGGGATTATAACAGGATGATGCCTTCAGCTTTTTTTTTCTGCCGGTGATGCACTTTTATGTAAAAGCAATCCTAGTGGCTAATTAGCTGCTGGATCACTTTTACAGGCGGTGGAAGGGGGTCTCACTGGGGAGCATGGGACTGAGGCCAGCAGTTCTGCCAGATGACCATAGAGGTGACCAAGGACTGGAATGTTCCCAGTCATCTCTATGGTCTAAGAACCTGGAAGCATTGAGTATTTTGTCATTTTGTCAAACTGACCTGGGTTTGATCCTATGCTTTGAAGGGCGGATGAGAGATCTGGGGTCTAAATAAGTTGACCTGTCACTGCTCCAGCTATCACAAAATATTCATCCCTTGTGAAAGCAATAAAAATGACAGTGTCAAAATAAAAAAATTAAATAAATAAGAAAATGAAAAAAAAATTAAAGCACCCCTGTCCCCCTGTGCAGCAACCAGTCTTCCCATTCTACTCTGACCTCTAACATCAACAAGCATTTTCGTCCACACAACTGCCGCTCACTGGATATTTTCTCTTTCAGACCATTCTCTGTAAACCCTAGAGATAATTGTGCATATAAATCCCAGTAGATCAGCAGTTTTTGAAATACTCAGATCAGCTAGTCTGGCACCAACAACCATACCTCATTCAAAGTCACTTAAATACCCTTTCTTTCCCTTTCTGATGCTTGGTTTGAACTTCAGCAAGTCATCTTTACTAGGTCTAGATGCCTAAATGCATTCAGTTGCTGCCATGTGATTGGCTGACTAGCAATTTGTGTTACCAAGGAACTGAACAGGTGTACCTAATAAACGTGGCAGGTGAGTTATTTTTATATATATATATATATATATATATATATATATATATATATATATTTGGTGCACTAGATGGGCAACAATGAACAATGAGACGACCCCCAAAAAGGAATGGTTTTACAGTTGAAGGCCACTGAAATTCTTTCCCCTACTCATCTTTTCTGACAGTTTTTCACTAGTTTTTCATTTGGCTAGGGTCAGTGTCACTACTGGTAGCATGAGGAGATACCTGGACCCTACAGAGGTTGCACAGGCAGTCCAACTCCTCCAGGATGGCATGTCAATACGAGCCATTTCCAGAAGGTTTGTATCACGTACCTAGTGATGGAGGTCAATGGAGAGAGGGCTTCCCTTGCGGCTAACTTCCGGACTCCCCTGAGAGTGGGACAGCGGGAGTCAGGCCCAAAGTTGCACAGGTCGCCTGTAGGAGTGCTGGTTGGTGGTCCACTCAGAAGCACAGCTGGTGCACGGATACAGGTCTGCAGACAGGAGGCGCCTGTGCGTGGTATGCAAGCCCTTCCGGGATTTAGATGTTTACTGGGTAGTCGATTCAAGCCAAGGTCAGGTACAAGGTGGGGATCAGAGCAGACGTAGTCAGATGGGATAGTCAAGGTCATACACAGAGAAGCGAGAGTGTCCATAAGCCAAGCCAAGCAAAGGTCAGATCAGGGGTAAAGCAGAGTAGACAGGTCCAGGAGCAAGCCGAGTCGGTATCAGGAAATCACAGGTCACAATCACAGGAAACAGGAAAAAGGCACGGGGAGCTAGAGATCATCCAGCGACTTGAGGAAGTGATGAGCCTCCTTATAAAGGCCATCTGGCACCAAACTGAGGCTGATGTGTGCTTCTGCGGCCATGCAGGGTACTGGCAGAAATGCCAGATCTTCCAGAACCTCTGCCGTGGACAGGACCCTGACAGTTTGCTGTGTCTCCCAGTACAATCTCAAGAGCATAGAGGAGATTTCAGGAGACAGGCATTTACTCCAAGAGAGCTATACAGGGCCGTAGAAGGTCCTTAACCCATCAGCAGGATTGGTATCTGCTCCTTTGTGCAAGGAGGAACAGGATGAGCACTGCCAGAGCCCTACAAAATGACTCCAAACTGGTGTGAACTGACCAAACAATCATAAACAGACTTCATGAGGGTGGCCTGAGAGCCCGACGTCCTCTAGTGGGCCCTGTGCTCACTGCCTGGCAACATAGAACTTGATTGGCATTTGCCATTTGAACGCCAGAATTGGCAGGTCTGCCACTGGTGCCCTGTGCTTTTCACAGATGAAAGCAGGTTCACCATGAGCACATGTGACAAACATGAAAGGGTCTGGAGAAGCCATGGAGAATGTTATGCTGCCTGCAACATCGTTCAGCATGACTGCTTTGGTGGTGGGTTAGTGAAGGTCTGGGGAGGCATATCCATGGAGGGACGCACAGACCTCTACAGGCTAGACAATGGCACCCTGACTGCCATTAAGTATCGGGATGAAATCCTTGGACCCATTGTCAGACCCTGCACTGGTGCAGTGGGTCCTGGGTTCCTCCTAGTGCATGACAATGCCCGGCCTCATATGGCCAGAGTATGCAGGCAGTTCCTGGAGGATGAAGGAATTGATACCTTTGAATGGCCCCCACGCTCTCCTAAATCCAATAGAGCACCTCTGGAATATCATGTTTCCGTCCATCTGATGTTGCCAGGTTGCACCGCAGACTGTCCAGGATCTCAGTGATGCCCTGGTCCATATCTGGGAAAAAATACCCCAGGACACCATCCGTTGTCTCATTAGGAGCATGCCCGGCCCTGTCAGGCATGCATACAAGCACGTGGGGACCATACACACTACTGAGTACCATTTTGAGTTGCTGCAATGAAATTTCAGCAAAATGGACTAGCCTGCTGCATCATTTTTTCACTTTGATTTTTGGGGTGTCTTTGAATTCAATCCTCTGTAGGTTAATCATTTTCCTTTTCCATGAAACGATGGGGCATCCTTACGTTCCTAACACATTACCCAATCTATATCAGCATAGATGTCCAGCATGATATTTTTCCCCATTGAGATCTGATATGTTTTCAAAGTGTTATTTTAATCTTTTTGAGCAGTGTGTGTATATATATATATATATATATATATATATATATATATATATATATATATACACACATACACATACACACACACACACATACATATATATATACACACACACACACACACACACACACACACACACACACAGTTGTTGTGCTCAAACGTTTGCATACTCTGGCAGAAATTGTAAAATTTTGGCATTGATATTGAAAATATGGCTGATCATGCCAAAAAAATGCTCTTTCATTGAAGCATGATGATCATATGACGCCATTTCTTATCAAAAGTTGTTTGACTTCTTTTTAAATCATAATGATAACAGAAATCACCCAAATGGCCCGGATCAAAAGTTTACATACCCTGGAATGTTTGCCCTTGGTACAGACATACAAGGTGACACACACAGGTTAAAATGCCAATTAGAGGTTAATGTCCCACATCTGTGGCTTTCTAAATTGCAATTAGTGTCAGTGTATAAATAGCCAATGAGTTTGTTAGCTCTTACATGGAAGCACTGACTAGGCTAGATACTGAGCCATGGGGATCAGAAAAGAACTGTCAAAAGTCCTGCGTAACAAGGTAATGGAACTTTATAAAGATGGAAAAGAACATAAAAGATGTCCAAAGCCTTGAATATGCCAATAAGTACTGTTAAATCACTTATTAAGAAGTTGAAAGTTTGATGATCTCTTGATACCAAGGTTAGGTAGACCAAGAAAGATTGCAGCCATAACTGACAGAAAATTGTCCAGGATTCAAAGAATAACCCACATGCAACCTCAACAGAAATACAGGCTGCTCTGGAAAAAGACAGTGTGGTTGTTTTGAAGGAGCACAATATGATGACACTTGAACAAAAATGAGCTGCATGGTCAAGGTGCCAGAAAGAAGCCTTTACTGCACACAAAATGGCCTGGTTAGACATGTCAAGGTGTTGTCATGCATATTGTAACCAAGCTTTTTTGTGGCATTGGTGCAGTAAAAGCTTCTTTCTGGCACCTTGACCAAATAGCTCATTTTTGTTCAAGTATAACCGTATTGTACTCCTTAAAAACAACCACACCATCTTTTTCCAGAGCAGCCTGTATTTCTTTTGAGGTTGCCTGTGGGTTTTTCTTTGAGTCCCGAACAATTCTTCTGTCAGTTATGGCTGCAAACTTTCTTGGTCTACCTGACCTTGGCATCAAGAGATCCCCGAACTTTTCACTTCTTAATAGGTTATTTAACAGTACTGATTGGCATATTCAAGGCTTTGGACATCTTTTTATGTCCTTCTCCATCTTTATAAAGTTCCTGTCAGGGCTCCCGGGTATGACCAGAGGTGTGTGACTGACGCAGGGAAACGCAGACTTCAGATAAGTTATAAACAATTTATTAACACTAACAATACAAACATAAACGCAGTGCAATGCTAAAACATAACACAGTGCAAACGAACCGAACCAAACCACCCACAGATAACAGTACATACAGTGCAAGCGTCGTCAGGCAGGCCGGGTAAATATCAATCGGGCAGGTAGGTACAGGGGGAGCAAGCGGAGAATAGTCAGGTCACGAGCAGGGTACAGCAACTAACAGGCAGGTAGGTACAGGGGGTCAGGCAGAGAATGGTTCGAGGTCACAAGCCAGGGATCAGAACAGGAGAAGTCAGCAGAGGTCAGAATCAAGCCAGGTCAGCAACAAGACAGGGACAGGACAGGAACAGGAGCAGGATGCAGGAACAAGATACAGGGCCCAGGAAAAACACAACACCAAGGCAGAGTCTGCAGGTCTGCAATGTCCCTTAAATACACCAGTATAATTAGTTCCAGGTGTTTGACTGGCTGCAAGGTTGAGTCTCTGATTGCTGGGAGCACCCGCTGGCCAGCCCCGGTACTGCAGCTCACAAGGCAGGTGAGTCCCACCATTGCTGGCCAGTCCATTCCTGACAGTTCCATTACTTGTTACACAGGACTTTTGACAGTTCTTTTCTGATCCCCATGGCTCAGTATCTAGCCTAGTCAGTGCTTCCATGTAAGAGCTAACAAACTCATTGACTATTTATACACTGACACTAATTGCAATTTAAAAAGCCACAGATGTGGGACATTAACCTCTAATTGGCATTTTAACCTGTGTGTTCTGTCTCTCCAATCTAAGCATTGAAAGTGTGATCTCTGTAACTTACAGTTGTGATGAGATAGCGATAACTCCAATCTTAGTTGAATGACACAGCCAGTGACTCGATCCAGAAGACATCTTGTAGATCTTGTGAAGTTTATTCCATAAACTGAGAGAATCTTACAACAATGAACATCGGATAGGTCAAAAGATCATAATGTGTCCTGCTTCATGACATGAGGCTATAGCTGCAATGCATTTCTGGTAAAAAGGGTGGGCTATCTATACAGCATTAGCTAAACCAGAGGAAAGTTAGGAGCAGAGACAAAATATAGAGAACACTTAAATGCATATGACAGTCATGTGAAACATGACACCGTGTGTGTCACCTTGTGTGTCTGTACCAAGGCCAAACATTCCTGGGTATGTAAACTTTTGATCATGTCCATTTGGGTGATTTCTGTTATCATTATGATTTAAAAAGGAGCCAAATAACTATTTGATAAGAAATGGCTTCATATGATCATCATCCTTCAATGAAAGAGCATTTTTTTGGCATGATCAGTCATATTTTCAATATCAATGCCAAAATTTCACAATTTCTGCCAGAGTATGTAAACTTTTGAGCACAACTGTATATAATGTCAGAATTGGCTGGGGGCTGAATTGATTAATCACTAACCAAGAACAAAGTATGCAGATAAGGACTTCTGACTTTACTTTGACTTTCTTAATATGCATACCTGCTCCAGATCAGTGACTGAGAAAGTATTGAAGGCAGAAGGTCAGTATAACAGCCAAGCAACTAGCATTTTCAAAAGAAATTCACCAATGGCAGCCCTTATGAAGGTAGAAAGGTCTGCTTTAAATTTATCAGCTTAAACACTAGAACAGTGGTACAAAGCTAGGGCTGCAAGAACACAATCCCCAAATGTGGGTCAACATTTGAAGACAAAGATTTAAGATTTCCTTCTTTGGTGTGCTTGCTGGCCTAGGGGAGGAAAGAAAAAAAAAAAAAAAAAAAAAAAAAGGAGCAGAAATCCACTCCTGCTACCCGCATGTACATACATCAGTGCACATTATACATAGAAACCAGTTTTTTTTAAAAACCTTACCACAAATTGATATGATTGAACTGATTTCTTTTACAAGTATTTTTAAAATTATTGAAATTTCTTTAAGTACAAAAGCACTGCGTTTGTGGATAAGCAGTGTTTAAAGTGTAAAGCGTTGCATTTTCATTTTTTAAAATAACAAACATGTTAAACTTACCTGCTTTGAGCAATGGTTTTGCACAGAGCAGCCCCAGCCCTCCTTTTCTAGGGTCCCCCACCAGTGCTGTCTGCTCCTCCCCCCATAGAAATCCACTTGCTATGGGGACACTCAGGTGTGCTTGCTCCTGGGCTGGCTCTGTGTGTCCACTGACATACAGAGCACATCTCGGCCTTGCCTCTTGCTCCCTTCTCACTGGCTGTAATTGGCAGGAGCCAATGGCTACCACTGACTTTCTGTCCAATGAGAAGAGAGAGAGCCAAGAGAGCCACTGTTCCCGTGCTCATCGCTAGATTGATCGCTAGGGCTCAGGAAAGTAATAGGGGGAGAGGGGGGCTAGCACACTGAAGGTTTTTTACTTTTAAGGTAAAAAACCTTTAGGCTTTAGAACAGCTTTAGGAAAAAACTACAAATCAGATCTTAACAGCTTACTTTCTTTATATTTGTGGTAAGGAGTTAGCACTCATGAAAGTTGCAGTTTGGTGCTACTCCCACTGCTGACCTTGCTGCCATAAGCACTTATAACAGGAGCATATATAGTAATTTTACGGGTTTTTTTTTTTTAGATAAACTTGAAAATATCAGCTCATTGTAAATAATCAGTACATCTTTAGGTTTCAAAGACATTTTGATTATGTATTATTTGAAATTGTATACTATATCTACAAGTGGGTAGTTATATTGGTTACCTTTGTGATGAAGACTCAGCTTCTTGCTTTACAGTGCATCACAATAGCTGTGCTTTACACGCAGCTGACTCACTGAAAACAATGCACTCCCTGTGTGACTGATATCTTATCTCAACTGTTGTAAAGAGGCACACAGCACAATTGAACTGTGCCACTGAGTTCTCCTTAGTGGCTAATCTACAAATATTTGCATTTAATAAGATAACAATATAATATTTTACATGCAAGATCATGAAAAACTAATATAAATGAAAAAGTCTTTTAAAGCTAAACTGAGGGCAGATATGAAACACAGAATGTAATGCAATGTTACATTAATTAAAAATAAATATATTTTAAATGCAATTTAAATTTGTCTTGATATCACTCTTTTGTAATCCCCTGTTCAGTAGGAGAAGGAAGGTCAATACACTGAGCCTATGTACACAAGCCCTAAATCTTTGCACAGGCTGGACAAATTTATTAGAAACGCTTCGGCAGATAGTTTTGTATTTTAACTGTGAAATTAGCTAGCTAGAGTCCAAATTTAAAGTTACTGTAAAAAATATATTTTTTAAATTAAATTAAAAAAAATTAACATTAAATTAGAAAAATCAGTTAAATAAAAAAAATTATATACTTACCTGCTTTGTGCAAGTTTATTGCACGGAGCATTCCCTTACCCCCTCTGCTGGAGTCCCCCAGTGCTCTCGACTGAGCAAGCCATAAACTGAGCGGGCAGAGTCGGGCTGTGTGCTTCCATAGTGGGGCAACAGATGGTGGGGCATTTTTACCCTAATGCATAGTTCTGCAGTGTGTAATTTTAACTCTCCGCCCCCTGTTTTCTGAAAGCGCAAATGCGCTTTATAAATTCTGGTCTTTGAACAGATATAGAGAAGAGAACACTGCAGATAACTTATGTAGGAGTATTTGTTTAATCTCTATGTATTTATTACCTGAGGCCAGTCACTTCATTTGGTAAATGTAAGGGTTTACAATCACTTTAACCGCCTCCCACCCGCCATATAGTACAATGACGGGCGCAATGCGGTTCTATCGTTCTGGGAAGACGTCATATGACGTCCTCCCATTCTAACCCGCGCATGCGTGGCGATCGGCGGTGCGCTGTGTCCCTCGGACACAGCGGATCACCGATCAACAGAAAAAGCCGAACATGTCGGCTCGGTCATGTGATCAGTTGTGTCCAATCACAGCTGATCGCATGTGTGACGGAAGCGTAGGCCGGAGAGAACACACAAAGAAGATGGTAAACACACAAAGCTTTATTGAACTATGGAAGGCACTCAATCGGGGCAGCTCTTGGCACTCCGCAACATGTGGCTTGTAGGGACAATCACGGTAAGCGAGCTCACGGGGACTCAACGGGACCTTGACTATAGGACCTGGCCTCAGCACAGCTCCCACACACAGCTTTCTAGGGACAACAGCAGCCTCACAGGGACACAACGGGACTTTGGCTGTGGGGCCTGGCCTCAGCACAGCTCCCACACAGCTTTCTAGGGACAACAGCAACCTCACGGGGACACAACAGGACTTTGGCTGTGGGGCCTGGCCTCAGCACAGCTCCCCAGCAGTGCCACATGTCAGTGTCCATCAGTGCCAGCTGTCAGTGCTCATCCATGCCACCTGCCAGTGGCCATCAGTGCCACATTTCAGTGCCTACCAGTGCACATCAATTCCACATATCAGTGCCCATCTGAGCTGCCTTTCAGTGTCACCCATCAGTGCCAGTGCCACCCATCAATGCCAGTCAGTGCCACCTATCAGTGCTGCCAATCAGTGCACCTAGTCAGTGCCAGTCAGTGCCGCCTATCAGTGTGCATTAGTGCCGCCTAACAGTGCCAGTCAGTGCCCCCTATCAGTGCCTTATATGAGTGCTGCCTTTCAGTGCCCATCAGTGATGCCTGTCAATGCCCATCAGTGCCACCTACCAGTGCCTCCTCATCAGTGCCACCTATCAGTGTCCATCAGTGCAGCCTATCACTGACCATCACTGCAGCCTCATTAGCGCACATCAGTGAAGGAGAAAAATCACTTATTTACAAAATTTTATAACAAAAACAAAGAAAAAACTTTTTTTGTTTTTTTCAAAATTTTCAGTGGTTTTTGGTTTGTTAAGAAAAAATAAAAACCCAGAGGTGACTAAATACCACCAAAATAAAGCTCTGTCACAAAAATAATGATAAAAATGTCATTGTCATTCAAAGTGCAACAGCGCTGAAAGCTGGAAATTGGCCTGGGCAAGAAGGAGGTATAAGTACCCTGTAGGCTAGTGGTTAATGCATTAAAGTGGAACTACACTGTATATGAGCAACACAAGCCGAAAGTGCTATTTATTTCATTTTTAATATTCAATGCAAACTCCCCCATCCAACCATGTCTCCATGCTTTATTTTGCTCAGAAATCACTTGGAAAAACACCCTCCTAGCATTTCTGGCCATGGCCATCTTGAGTAAGTGCTAGTGAATCATGTAGCAATTACTTCCTGGAATACATCTGCCCTTAGCTCAGGCATGCACACAGGAGGGTGTGTTTAGCTGAGAAAACTCCTCTTCCCCTTCTAAAGACTCCTGGAATGACATGATTTGCGTAGGCATGGAAACCAGGAAGTGACTAAAGAAATGTAAAAAAAACTGTTTAAAACAAGTAAATATGATATACTTTACTATCTATTTAGTAATACTAGCAGCATAAGGATTTAAAATAGTCAATGTTGATTGAGACAGTGAAGTAAATCTTTAAGGTACAAAATGTCTTGACTTTAGAACCACTTTAAAACATGCACTCACTAAAAATATACCAACTTTCCCATTAAAGCAAATATGACTCTGAGGCCCCATGTTGACTGTAAACGTGTAAATACTGGTTGTGCATACCTGTGTCTGAAGAACTTGCACTTTTTGGTTAGTGTTGGCTAAGCTGAGAATCTCTCGGTCAAGCTCCTGTTTGCTGTGCAGTATTTCCATCTCCTTATGTGCAATCTGTCTGTTAGTGAGCTCTTTTGTCTTCTTCATTTGAACAATCTCCTCCAGCAACTGTTTTTTTTCTTTAGAATGAGAAGCTAAAAAGACAATGCAAAACCCGCTTATTTATAACCATCAGTTACTACCATTGTCTCACTCTTCAATAGTGTTAATAAAGATAGAAGCTAGAGAACAAAACACAAAGATGTGACCTCTATTTTTAATCTAAATGTTGGAAATAGTATATCTCTCTGGTAGATAAGAGGACTGAGTAATGGCAAATGTTTGTGCTGTGTAACGTGTTTTCCACATTAACAAATAGGTTTCAATCTTGTTCAGTATAGCACTGCATAGAGCAATGATAGTATACAAAGTGCAGTAATCAATACTAGTAAGGTTTAACTTTACTGTAGTGAGATCAGTAAAATATGAATACTGATTGGTTGCTGCAATGTACTGTACAGTGCACACTTGTCAGGCTATTAGTGGTATAATTCAAATACTGTAATTATTTATACTTACCTGTAAGTTCCATATCTCGGAGTACAGTACAACACACAGGCAAAGTATTCGAAGGCCCTGTATTACAGGCTCATACCTTCAGATGACTGGTTACTGTAAAGATTTTGGGGACACGCCCAGGGCACCTCACCTGCTTCACTTCATGATTCCTCAGTTTTGTAGTCCTGTTTGGTCTTGTACTGTACTCCAAAATATGGAATTTACAGGTCATAATTTCTCCTGGGAGGTTCTCACGCAATGAATGAGAGAGATGGGTAACAACTAGGCAAACAGAACTATGCCATCAGGCCCAATAACGACACGGGTCAACATACCCAACTTCAGAGAGCCACTAAAAGAAACTTGTGGCTGAAAGCTGCATCTGCAGAAGTTTGGTCATCCACCTGCTAGAACTTTTAAAAAGTATGAACGGAAGACTAGGTGGTGACCTTGCACAGATAGCCTACAGATTTGGCTAGATGCCAAAATGCCCTGGAAACTCCCACCGATCTGGTGGAATGGGCACATAAAAAGCACAGGAGGAGATTTGTCCATGAAAATGTCAGCTCTAGAAATCAGATTTTGTACCCATCGGTGGACTTGGAGGCAGGGCGTCCTTGCAAGGTTCTGGGGACAGTACAAATAGGAAACCTGTCTATCTGACCAAGGCTGAGCTTTAAGATAGACTGTAATGTTTCTGAATATGTCTAGACAATGAAATTAGGTTTCTTTTGGATGCTTTGGAACTGGGCATAAGGATGTTAGGCCTCATTGAGGTGGAAGACTGATACCACCTCGCAAAGAAAGGATTGTCTCTGACGTAAGACAACATTGCCTTGCTGAAGTATGAGAAACGTCTCCTTACAGGAGAGAGACACACCAACTCAGGGACATGTCTGACCAGTGTGTTTAAATAACAACCAAAAGGATACTTTGCAGTAGAGGTTATCTAAGGGAATATCCCTAATGAGTTCTGAGAATGGTTTTCTGCAGAGAACCAAGTTGAGATCCCACGGAAGCAATAGAGTGTTAATGAGAGATACACCCTGAAGAAAAGTTTTTACAAGGGACAGTGAAGCAAAAGGCCTTTGAAAGAGGATGGAGAAGGCCAAGATCTGTTCTTCAGAGTGCTTACGGCCATGTTCTGGTCAAGACCTGATTGTGGGAAGACCAGAATGCAAGGCCTGGAGTAACCTCTATGCTTGAACTGTCTGTGTTTCAGGTGAAGGAGGATTTCCAGGTACAGTAGTAGTTCTTCCTGTAAGTGTTTTTTCTTGCTTTTAAATTGAAAAATAAGAAAGAAGTTTGCGCCAAGCTTCTCTGGACAAAGGCAACACAGCTGTGGTTACTTCAGCCAAACATTTGGTACTATATGCTAACATATAACATATTTTGTAACTGCGCTCTTACCCAACCCTCAAAAAATATACTTAAAAAATACAGTGAATCCAAATTATATAATCAATAAATACCTACAAACATAAATGCATCAAATGACAGATATTCCATAAACATCAGCGTAACAATTATATCCAAGTGTTCCGTAGTCAAAGTTTCATAAATTCCTCAATTCATGTGTATCAATTTTAAGTGCAATGAATAAATATATAAATAAAAAAAAATGTATCACAGTACAATAAAACAGGTTCATCAATGTGCAAATATGAAAATGAATAATCCAGTGTCTTTATGCAAGAAAGCCCACCAAAAATGCAATAAACCAAAACTTCATCAAAGGGCAAATACAAAATAAATAACCCACGTGACTTTATGCAACAAAGTCCTCCAAGAAACAAAGTGCCACTGTGCTGCATTGTGCAAAAAACTTTTCCTTAGTGCCCTTAATGCACCATGTGTGCACCACCTTCACACACATACTCGACAGTAATTGAATGAGATATCCTCAATGTCCAGATTAACACATACATATGTAAAGGCAATTGTTTTTTTTATATGTGTGTGTCATCTAAAGCAGGTGTAACAGGATCCAACTGAGGCAGAGAAATTGGAGTAGGGGAAAAGGCATGGTGTTTTTGGTCTCTATTAAAGCTTTACTTGTCCAAGGAATTGTGACATAGATGCAGAAAAGTTTGCTTTTGTCAGGTAGGGTGCTTATTGCATTCTTGAAATACAGCTACAGTGGGGATCGAAAGTTTGGGCACCCCAGCTAAAAATTTGTATTAATGTGCATAAAGAAGCCAAGGAAAGATGGAAAAATCTCCAAAAGGCATCAAATTACAGATTAGACATTCTTATAATATGTCAACAAAAGTTAGATTTTATTTCCATCATTTACACTTTCAAAATAACAGAAAACAAAAAAATGGCGTCTGCAAAAGTTTGGGCACCCTGCAGAGTTAATATCTTGTACTGCCCCCTTTGGCAAGTATCACAGCTTGTAAACGCTTTTTGTAGCCAGCCAAGAGTCTTTCAATTCTTGTTTGAGGTATCTTTGCCCATTTTTCCTTACAAAAGTCTTCCAGTTCTTTGAGATTTCTGGGCTGTCTGTCACGCACTGCTCTTTTAAGGTCTATCCATAGATTTTCAATTATGTTGAGGTCAGGAGATTGTGAAGGCCATGGCAAAACCTTCAGTTTACGCCTCTTGATGTAATCCCCCGTGGATTTCGAGGTGTGTTTAGGATCATTATCCATTTGTAGAAGCCATCCTCTCTTTAACTTCAGCTTTTTTACAGATGGCATCAAGTTACCATCCAAAATTTGCTGAAATTTTATTGAATCCATTTTTCCTTCTACTCGTGAGATGTTCCCTGTGCCACTGGCTGCAACACAACCCCAAAGCATGATTGATCCAACCCCATGCTTAACAGTTGGACAGAGGTTCTTTTCATTAAATTCTGTGCCCCTTCTTCTCCAAACGTACCTTTGCTCATTCCGGCCAAAAAGTTCAATTTTAACCTCATCGGTCCACAGAACTTGTTTCCAAAATGCATCAGGTTTGTCTATATGTTCACTTGCAAAGTTCAAACGATGATTTTTGTGGTGAGGACGTAGAAGAGGTTTTCTTCTGATGACTCTTCCATGAAGACCATATTTGTACAAGTATCTCTTTATAGTGGAATAGTGTACCACAACTCTAGTGTCTGCCAGATCTTTCTGGAGGGATCGTGCAGTCAAATGTGGGTTTTGAATTGTTTTTCTCACAATCCTGCGAGCTGTTCTGTCTGATATTTTTCTTGGTCTTCCAGATCTTGCTTTAACTTCCACTGTTCCTGATGACTGCCATTTATTAATTACATTCCGAACAGAGGATATCGACATCTAAAAACGCTTTGCTATCTTCTTATAGCCTTCTCCAGCTTTGTGAGCGTCAACTATTTTCAGTTTCAGTTTTCTAGACAACTGCTTAGAAGAACCCATGGTGCCGATTGTTGGGGCAAGGTCAGATGAGTCTGGGCATTTAAAACCTTTGAGATTGACATAACCTGGTCTTCCCAGACGATGATTGAGAACAATCCATGACACTGGCAGGTCTCAGCTTTGCAAAGGGGGCAGTGCATGCTATAAATTCTGCAGGGTGCCCAAACTTTTGCAGACGCCATTTTTTTGTTTTCTGTTATTTTGAAAGTGTAAATGATGGAAATAAAATCTAACTTTTGTTGACATATTATTAGAATGTCTAATCTGTAATTTGATGCCTTTTGGAGATTTTTCCATCTTTCCTTGGCTTCTTTATGCACATTTATACAAATTTTTAGCTAGGGTGCCCAAACTTTCGATCCCCACTGTAGAATAAGATGCAGAGGCCTGTGCTAGAGCCAGCTCCTGCTCCAATGCAAGGAACGCATCGTCAACGAGGTTAAGTGTTGTGGGGGCATTTGGCAAGGAGAATATTTGTCTTTGGTTTTGCAATAGCTACCTTTCGCCTGGGTTCTGCTTCAGCTACGTATGAGGGTATTCCCCTATAGGGTACTCATGGAGTAGGGTGCAGCATATACAGTAAGCAAATCCATGTGTAACTAGAATAGATTGATAATGTTACAATGCTGTTAAGTAGCTCCAACACCTTGTCTTTCTTGGAAGAAAGTAGTAAATGTAAACATCCTATATTCTGTAATGAGCTTTTTCTTACTGATTTGCTACTCAGTAAAAGATTTAATGGAATTATTCAGTACAAATCCCCTGATGAAGCCATGTGATATGTGATGCAATGCGTTGGATGGAAATGGAGTTCCGAGAGTGATTTTTGGTACTTACATTCCGTGTAATGAATGCAACATTACTTTTTATTGTACGTGAGTGCAATTACTTTAATAGAAAGGGTTGTTTTATTTACTACACTAGATTCCTAATGTACTCTTGAGCCTATTGTAGTGAACATGCTGAACCCCCCCTTACCCCAAAGGGGAATGCACATATAAGAGGCTTGATGTGCCCAAACACAGGAGAATGACATCTGATATATTGGGTATCCTGGGAAAGGGGTGACCTATGTGCATTGTGACCCATGTTTATGTGGGTCACAATCTGGAGGTGAGGGCACAATTCACATAGAGGTGGAGCAAGTTACTTCATATGTTGATGTGCAGTACTGGAGGTTTTGGTTACAAAATCCATTGATAAGAGGATAAAAAAGACTTCACAGTTATGCAGGCCATAGACAGGTAGTTTATCGGCCGAATTTTCGTCCGCACAAAAAAAAAAAAAAAAAAAAAAAAAAAAAAAAACAAAAAAACAAAAAAAAAAAAAAAAAAAAAATCGGCCGATATTCGCGCCGTTAGTGGGGCCAGCCCGTTGGCCATTTTTTGCGGATCTCCTCATTTATTTTTATCGGTCATGCTGGAAAATCCACGAAAAATTGGTGGAAGCGTCGGCAACGGGGCCGACCGATTTTTCGTTTATCGGCCGAATTCGGCCCGATAAACGGCCCGTCTATGGCCTGCTTTACTCTTTTACATTTGGACTTTATTTGTCACATACTGTTTAATGTGTCTATTATTACAGTACTGGAGCTGTGGGTTCACAAAAGATAAGGATTTATTAATACAATTCATTGATAAGAGGATATTCAAGATTTCAGAGTCGAGCTTTTTTATATCTGAACTTTGTTACATACTGTTTCATTGTGTTTATTGTTGCAGCATTGGAGTTTTAGGTTCACAGGAGATTAATATTAACTAATGAGTCAAGTGTCATTGAATATTTGTATTTTATTTTTTTTTTTATTTTTTATCGTATATATCAGAGACGAATTTGAGTTCTTTGGCACTATAATATTATAGTAATACAAAAAAGAAGCGTTTACATTTTCTATTTAGAGTAGCATTCAGTAGACTGAGGAGTATTTTTTACCCAGGCCTCCACAGAAAAAAAGCTTTCTTCCTTATTAAATGTAATTTAATTAAATATAGAATCAGTTACCTTCAGCTTCTCTGATCTGCCCTTTCACATGTTCTAGATCGCGCTGCAGCATTAGTGAATTTGCATCTTTACGTTTCACTTCAAGCTTCAATCCTTCACCCTCTGATCGAAGGTCCTAAGAAAAATGGTAACAGTATAACTCTACTTGTTTTACAGCAAAACTATCTTCCCTGTCCTTTGCACATACCTTTAAAATGTTTAGGCACTCCATTGGAACTACCACCCATCCATCCTTCTGTTCAATGTCTTACAATACTCCTTACAAATTTTATCTAGTGTTCTCTGATCGTACCAGTGTCACTTGCTTTACTTAGTATTGTCCTGTACTTGACTTCACAGATGGCTGGTGAAAATGTAACTGCAGATCTCTGTCACATGAAAACCAAGGAAGGGGTACTTTCTATTCTTACTACATAGAGGAGCCTGAAATAGGCAAAGGACTTCGAATTTGCTTGTTTTTGTAGCTACAACATTTGACATTATGCCTACACTCACTGGGGATCATTTACAAAAGGAATAGAGCCTGTTCACTTGTAAAAATGAATGTTTACTGAGCTTAGTAAATAAAGTGACACGTGTATTTACTACCAAAAATGACCAAAACCTTTTCTAACATGATTGTCTTCTGGGTCAGGAAGGTAATGTGGTGAGTGATGTGTGCTGCACCCAATAGCAGGTGTGCTTAAGACTCAGGACTGCAATTCTCAGGAGTGCATATCGCACAGAGTGCGGGACTCAGGAGTGCATATCGCACAGAGTGCGGACACAGGGGACTCAGGAGTGCATATCGCACAGAGTGCGGGACTCAGGAGTGCATATCGCACAGAGTGCGGGACTCAGGAGTGCATATCGCACAGAGTGCGGGACTCAGGAGTGCATATCGCACAGAGTGCGGGACTCAGGATCACACAGAGTGCGGGACTCAGGATCACACAGAGTGCGGGACTCAGGAATGCATATATCACACAGGGTGCAGGACTCAGGATCACACAGAGTGCGGGACTCAGGAATGCATATATCACACAGGGTGCAGGACTCAGGATCACACAGAGTGCAGGACTCAGGATCACACAGAGTGCAGGACTCAGGAATGCATATATCACACAGGTGTGCAGGACTCAGGATCACACAGAGTGCAGGACTCAGGAATGCATATATCACACAGGGTGCAGGACACTCAGGATCACACAGAGTGCAGGACTCAGGAATGCATATATCACACAGGGTGCAGGACTCAGGATCACACAGAGTGCAGGACTCAGGATCACACAGAGTGCAGGACTCAGGAATGCATATATCACACAGGGTGCAGGACTCAGGATCACACAGAGTGCAGGACTCAGGATCACACAGAGTGCAGGACTCAGGAATGCATATATCACACAGGGTGCAGGACTCAGGAGTGCGTATCGCACAGGGCTCAAGAGTGCATAACACTTAGAGCTCAGCAGTGCATATTGCACAGGGCCCAGGGCTTAGGAGTGCGTATCACACAAGGCAAAGGACTCAGGCAGTGCATACTGCACATCATGCATATTACACATGGTGCAGGATTCAGCAGTGTGTATCACACAGTACATAGCTCTCCCCCACCCCTCCTTTTCCCACAGCACAGACAGTACAAAGCTCTCCCCCACTCCTCTCTTTTATCCAGTATAGAACCCTATAAGAACGTGGCTGTAATGCCCTTTTTCATGCTTTATGAATTCCCTTATTATATTTCCTTTGGGAATATATGGTGCGGTACTTAGCTATTATCATTCACAGAAATGATGTAAAAAAAAAAAAAAAAAATCAGACACTGTACAATTGATACCAAAAATCAAATCTATCACATATAAAAGGAGGATGAGTCCATTTATTCTGCCACTGCAGAATAATGAGCAGGGTTAAACTGGCTGCTTTGATGATTTCTATTTAAAAGAGGACTTGTACTATTACAATAGCAGCCTCAGACAGACATCTTTAATGCGTGGCATGATATACTGTTATAATAAATGGTAAAAGATGTGCTTAGATGTGCTGCTCCTCTTGGCTTCTTCTGGTGCCAGTCACCCTACAAAACAAACCCTGAGAGATTAGTCAAGTCATCGGGATGAATAACTCTTCGTCCACCTCCTCCTGAACTTCATACTCCTAAACTTCATGGCTGAGATTACATGAGGAATATCTCAGCATGTGTCTGATACAGGAACAGGGCTTTGAGCAGTGGCTTCTTAGCACATTTTTTACCTCTTTATACTAGGGCAGGGCAGTTAGGATGGGCATGGTTTGTATAGCTTTGTTCAAAGTCTGCTTTTAACTCTATTGCAGAAAGCTGCATAGAGTTGGGAGAACAGCATACTGCAGAAAAAAAATATGTACAATATGTTTGCTTACATAACATTTTAAAATATAATATCCACTCAACAAATCAGATTCTAATATTCAGCAGAAAAAAATTATCAGTTTATATGAAAAAAACAAACAAAAAAGACTGATATAGTGAGACTTTCATGGTACGCAAATTATTTAAACAAGCATATGCTGTTAAAGGTTTTATTATATATATTGTGATCAGACCATAATATAAGATATATAAGACAAATCATACAAAGACAAATATATTTTTGATTTGTAAATGACTGCATGTACAGTATTTGTAATGGGACAGGGCCATGTTGGAAGCAATAATTGTGATACTGATGCAATAATCCCAGATAGGCATTTTATATGTCTTATTTTGTATTAATTTTGGGGTGTAGGTACTAGTGATGTAAGGCCATCCACACTAGAATCCAATCTGATATATAAAATGATCAATTATATAGCTTACTTTACAGGTCATGATCATTCACATATATACCCTAGAAGTATGGGCTTTACTGTATATTTACTATAAATAAAGTAAAAAAAATTGTTTATTACCATCAATGTCCTGAGAAGGTGCTCTGCCTCCATGGTGAGTTGTGGTGAAAGTACTTTGGCCTTTTTAGTCTGCCCACGAGTGAAAATCTGGAGTTAAGAATAAGCTCTCTAATAGTAAGTTATTTGACCAATCTATTTTCTTTTTCTTACTAAAGTAAAAATTAGCTAGTATACTAATACTAATAATAAATGATTATTTATACACACACTATATTGCCAAAGTATTGGGACGCCTTTCTTTACACGCAAATGAACTTCAATGGCATCCCAGTCTTAGTCTAAAGGGTTCAATATTGAGTTGGTCCACCCTTTGCAGCTATAACAGCTTCAACTCTTCTGGGAAGGCTGTCCACAAGGTTTAGGCGTGTATCTATGGGAATGTTTGACCATTCTTCCATAAGCGCATTTGTGAGGTGAGACACTGCTGTTGGATGAGAAGGCCTGGCTCGCAGTCTCTGCTCTAACTCATCCCAAAGGTGTTCTATTGGGTTGAGGTCAGAACTCTTTGCAGGTCAGCCAAGTTTATCCACCCCACACACACTCATCCATGTCGTTATAGACCTTACTTTGTGCACTGGTGCGCAGTCATGTTGGAACAGGAAGAGGCCATCCCCAAACTGTTCCCACAAAGCTGGGAGCATGAAATTGTCCAAAATGTCTTGATATGCTGATGCCTTAAGAGTTCCCTTCACTGGAACTAAGGGGCTAAACCCAACCCCTGAAATACAACCCCACACCATAATCCCCCCTCCACCAAACTTTACACTTGGCACATTGCAATTAGGCAAGAATCGTTCTCCTGGCAACCGCTAAACCCAGACACGTCCATCAGATTGCCAGACAGAGAAGCGTGATTCGTCACTCCAGAGAACACATTTTCACTGCTCTAAAGTCCAGTGGTGGTGTTACACCACTGCATCTGACGCTTTGCATTACACTTGGTGATGTAAGGTTTGGATGCAGCTGCTCAGCCATGGAAACCCATTCCATGAAGCTCTCTACACACTGTTGCTTTGCTAATCTGAAGGCCACAGGAAGTTTGGAGGTCTTTAGCTATTGACTCTGATGATAGCTGGTGACTTCTGCGCACTGCACTTCAGCATGCGCTGACCCTGCTCTGTCATTTTATGTGGCCTACCATTTCGTGGCTGAGTTGCTGTTGTTCCCAGTTGATTCCACTTTGTTATAATACCACTAACAGTTGAATGTGGAATATTTAGTAGCCAGGAAATTTCATGGATGGACTTATTGCACAGGTGGCAACCTATCATGGTACCATGCTTGAATTCACTGAGCTCCTAAAAGTGACCCATTCTTTCACAAATGTTTGTAGAAGCAGTCTGCATGCCTCAGTGCTTGCTTTTTTTTACACCTGGGGCCATTGGAACACCTGAATCCAATGATTTGCATGGGTGTCCCAATACTTTTGGCCATATAGTGTGTGTGTATATATATATATATATATATGTATAAACAAAAACATAGATTGGAATGGTTGCAACATCCATTTTCCTTTTTTCAGGCTTCCATGAGTCAACAGCCAAAGACATCACAGGAGAGTTGGATGTATTGGCCAAGTTGAATTATGATTGTGACCTTTTGGGTAAAAGTATGTAAGTTTTTGGGTTAACCAAGTGTGCACATTTATGGAAGAATCAAGGAGAGAATGCAGCCAACCTGGCAGCAAGAAGGGAGCACAGCCAACCACTGCTTGTCCTAGAGGAGCCAAAAGCGATCAAGAGTTTCACTGTTGCTGATAGATCTTTCTCCAAAGTCATTCACCTGGGAGTTTCTGCTATACCCATAAAACCACTAAAGTTAGCTTCCATAACCATTTCACATGTATAGCCTGTTTAAAAAGTAGGGAAAGCTGCTTGCAGTGGTTAGCTGACACCTTTGGGTTCCTGCACACTGCCTCTGATCGCCTTTAGGTGGCTCCAGAGTGCCCAACATCTGACTGCACCGTAATGCAAAATTCCAACCACCTTACTGGTTGACATCTATGGAACATCTGTTTTCCACCTCACTATATCCTTACTATTTACCTTGTTCTGTGTTGGGTTGGAAGGGTCAAAGCACCTTGTCCCCCCATGCATACACACAAATCCAAACACGTGCATAGGTCCAGCATGTGTATGTAAACAATGATTGGACCATACATGAGGTATTGGTGCGAATGTCAGATTGAGAGCAATAATTCTAGGGCCATAATTCATAGTTAAAACTAAACTGATAACCTGTAAAGGCTTTTAAAGCGTAAAAAAATAGAAAAAGTATAGCTTTGTTGCCAACTATAAGTCTTGCCATGTTTGGTATCTATTTATGTGATGCAACATCATCTTTTAAATTGTATCAAAAATATTTTAGCGTATTTTTCTCCTGAAAATTTAAATTGATAAATGGCTGTGTAAATATTGTGCAACAAATTTTATTCTCCAGGGCCCCTGCTTTTAGAAAATATGTAATGATTGGGAGTTTTAAGCAACTCTCCATCAAAAAATGCTGATTTTAACCACTTGCCAGCTGCCTTATAGCAGATGTACTACGCAAAATGATGTGTATATATATACGTGAATTGCATTTTTGGGTAGGGGGCATGCATGCACCGCCCTACCCTTGCCGCTATTGGCTACTGGGGATATCAACCACCGGGTCCTAGTTGGCAATTCCCAGCCGGAACTCGGTGATCATCGGCAAATCTGACAGGGGAGAGACCTGTGTGTAAACAACTCTCTTCTGTCAGCATGGACATGCTGCTTTGTATCTCTCTGCACAGCAGAGAGATACAAAGCAGCATGTCTCCCAAGTAAAACAGCACAGAATGTAAAACACATACAGCACACTGTTAACCCTTTGATCACCCCCAGGTGTTAAACCCTTCCTGCCCAGTGTCATTAGTACAGTATCACTGGGGATGTCAGTGGCAGTTAGTCAGTTGCCACCCAGTGTCAGAATACCAACTGCAGTCCCGTTATAAGTCGCTGATTGCTGCCATTACTAGTTTAAAAAAAGATAAAAATAAGAATTCCATTATATATACCACCATTTGTAGACATTATAACTTCCACGTAAACCAATTAATACAGACTTATTGGGATTTTTTTTTTAGCAGACATGTAGCAGAATACATTTTGGCCTAAATTTATGAAGAAATTTAATTTTTTTAATTTTTTTTATTTGATGTAAAAAATATTGTTTTCTTTTTCAAACTTGTCTTTTTTTGTTTATAGCGCAAAAAATAAAAACCGCAGAGGTGATCAAATACCACCGAAAGAAAGCTCTATTTGTGGGAAAAAATTACATAACTTTCATTTATGTACAGCTTTGCATGACCGCGCAACTGTCAGGTAAAGTAGCGCAGCACTGTATCGCAAAATATGACCTGGTCGGGAAGGGGAGTAAATCCTCTGGAGGGCAAGTGGTTAATACGTGTGCAATGACAGCAAGTAGTTTTGAAAAAAAAGCTAGGCAACTAGCATTTTAATAAGCTGATTTCCGCTCTTCTAATATGACGGTTGCCTTTTAACCAGGGACTGACTGACAACTCATGGGGCCCCCGGGCAATAGGGGATCATGGAGCCCCTGTGTCCTTGCCCAAGCTCAAAAAAGCCTATGAAAAAGGTACCAGGGGCATCTCATGGGGCCCCCTACTGACCCCGGGCCCTCGGGCAGTGCCCGAGTTTCCAAATGGTCAGTCCGCCCCTGATTTTAACGCATTTACTGCCCTTTTACCTTACATAAGTCCCAGCAACTGAACGGAAAAGGATATAGAAAGCTGGCCTCCATTTCAAGGAAATAGATTTGTTGCTGCAGATTCTTAATATACTGAGCTTCCATGGTGAATGTAGTCGAATCCATTCTCTGTAGACAACGCTTTGTGAAAACCTAATAAATGCACAGACACATACTGTAATATATAAATACTAAACACAACCAAAGCTCTCAACTTTACAGATGTATTCCCTGTGGCAGCAACCTGACTGTAGATTTGGTGTGGTAATGCTGCCCTCTGCTGCCCATGTTACATATTACAATGCAATCTTCTGGTGCTGTTTATATTAGTGAAAATTAGACTTCAATATGTGTGCACTGTGCAGTCTAGGTGAAAGCAGAATGATATTCCCTAGTTCCCTGGATAGAAGATATATGCTTTGGTTCTGACGAGCAGTATACTACCATAAAACAGCAGCAGTAGCAGATCCAATGTTCAGTGTGTTGCAGGCTTGCAGCTTCGGTTGCTGTGATGGTTGCCCAGGCAGCAGGCACTTCCTGTGAGGGAGGAGATACTTCTGTGGAGTGACACACACTCAGAGCTGAGCTTTAGTCATGAAGCATGGTGGTCAGTGAGGCTGCCAACTAGGGTGGCCACATCATCCCTTTAAAACCGAACACATATTGATTACACAGGCTCTGTGGCTGATTAAGGTGGTAATTAAACTCACTCAGTGCCTTATCTGCAATAAATCAGCTTCAGAACCTGTGTGAATAATATGTGTTTGGTGTTAAAGGGTTGAGGTGGCAACCCTACTGCCAACCCTCTCCAGACTTGAAGAGACACAGTTAATGACTTTAAGGGCTTCCTGTCCGCCCTATTATTTATTATTTATTTATCTCAGGTACTTATATAGCGCCTTCAATTTACACAGCACTTTACATATATATTGTACATTGACATCAGTCCCTAACCCTCAAGGAGTGTACAATCTAGTACAGTCCCTAACTTACATTCATACATACACATACTAGGGCCAATTTAGACAGGATCCAATTCACCTACCAGCATGTCTTTGGAGTGTGGAAGGAAACCGGAGTACCCGGAGGAAACCCACGCAGGCACAGGGAGAACATGCAAACTCCAGGCAGGTGGTGCCATGGTTGGGATTCGAACCAATGACCCTAGTACTGCCAGGTGGAAGTGCTAACCATTTAACCACTGTGCTACCCCATAAAGCAGATATACTGCTACAGGGCAGCACGGGTGTGCAAAATCACATATATATGTGATTTTGCATTTCTGGGTAGGGCCATTTGTGGCCGCAGCTGTCAGTCACCAGGTCCCAGCCGGTGATTACTTGCCAGCACCCAGTGATTGCTGAGGATCTCCGACGGGAGGGGGGGAGAACTGTTAGTTAACAAAACAGTTCTCCCTGTCAGCTTGTGCACACTGCTTTGCATGCCAGCCATGCAAAGCTGTGTGCTTACAGTGAAGCACACAGACACAGCCCCCTAGTAAAGCACACCCAGCACACAGTTAACCCTTTGATCGACCCCAGATGTTAACCCCTTCCTGTCCATTGCCATTACTACAGGGTCAGTGCTTTTTATTAGCACTGATCAATGTATTGGTGTCACTGGGGATGTCAGTGACACCAATCAGTTCCCCCCCAGTGTCAGAATGCCCGCCGCAGTCCCGCTATAAGTCGCTGATCGCCGCCATTACTAATGAAAAAAAAAATCCCAGTTTATATACTGCTGTTTGTAAACGCTATAACTTTCACGTAAACCAATTAATTGGGTTTTTTTTTTTAGCAGCAGCTATTAGACTCTGTAAGATGTTGGTATCAGTACCTGTGTCTTCCATCCAGACCTGGACACTGGTGCCTCCTGCACCTAAGAAAATGTCAGGGACGCGCAAGGGTAAAGCTTGGAAATTCTGACCACCACCGACCACACCACAACAGAAACCCATGTTCTGTGTTCAAAACGCACTGGGTGTCATCTGCTGCCGGTGTTAATGTACTCCTAAAGACACCCCAGGTGCGGATTGCAAACACTGCGTTTGCACGTACCAGATGGCAGGGTACCACAGTATTATGCGATCCAGTTGCAGTATGTTTTTAATCACTTGCCTATGGGGCACTTTTACCCCCTTCCTGCCAAGGCCAATTTTCAGCTTTCAGCGCTGTTGCACTTTGAATGACTATTGCACGGTCATGCAACACTGTACCCAAACTACATTTTCAGCTTTAAGTGCATGCAACACCTAAACTTTCTTTTTACACTGCTCAAAAAAATTAAAGGAACAGTTTTTATAGTTTTGCATTTGGCTAGGGTCAGTGTCACTACTGGTAGCATGAGGTGATACCTGGATGCTACAGAAGTTGCACAGGCAGTCCAACTCCTCCAGGATGGCACATCAATACGTGCCATTGCCAGGAGGTTTGCGGTGTCTTCCAGGACAGTCTTAAGAGCATGGAGGAGATTCCAGGAGACAGGCAGTTACTCTAGGAGAGCTGGACAGGACCATAGAAGATCCTTAACCCATCAGCTGGACCGGAATCTGCCCCTTTGTGCAAGGAGGAACAGGATGAGCACTGCCAGAGCCCTACAAAATGACCTCCAGCAGGCCACTGGTGTGAATGTCTCTGACTAATCAGAAACAGACTTCATGAGGGTGGCCTGAGGGCCCAACGTCCACTAGTGGGCCCTGTGCTCACTGCCTGGCACCATAGAGCTCAATTGGCATTTGCCATTAAATACCAGAATTGGCAGGTCCACCACTGGTGCCCTGTGCTTTTCACAGATGAAAGTAGGTTCACCCTGAGCTGTAAAAATAGGTATAAGTGAGCGCTAAAGGTAACGAAGCTGCTGAACACAAAAGGTACCAAAAACAACCTCCAAAGATTCACATATAAAAAGGTGCAGCGCTTATATATTAAAACATGCAAGATATCAAAGTGCAAGAGTATATCACTGCAAAACGCAGGCAGGGTATGATTATTATACTGCCCCTTATAGTCTCAACTGACACACAAATATATAGTTCACAATCTCCCAGTGAGTAGGGTGAGGTGAAGGATCAAATGGATCTCTGTTGACACACGGTGATAGCCAAAAAAAGGTGATGTATGGTGATATCCAAAACTGGTAAAAGATTGTGCACTCACCAGATGCACAACCAATATGCGCATGTAAGAGATAACCCCTCTCAAGGTATGATTCCAGGACTCATCAAAGGCAAGATCTGGTCAATCTCTACGATGTAGACCCTCAGCTGTCATGCATGGCTCTGTCCCCTATAGCTCTTTACTCTGCAGGTAGTTGGAAGCTCACCAGAGAGCCCCAGAAAGAAACAAGGAGGCCAGAATAGCGTGATACCGCTTAAACATGCGTGCATTTATTTCATCCAGCAAAAAGGGTATAATAAGACAATACTGACCAGACAAGAAAGTTAGCCGCTGGGACACCAGTGGTGCCGGCGGTGGTAAACGTCACTGTGCCGCAGTTCCTCCCTCTATATGAGATATGAAATATGAGAGCAGATTCACCCTGAGCACACGTGACAGACGTGAAAGGGTCTGCAGAAGCCGTGGAGAACATTATGTTGCCTGTAACATCCTTCAGCATGACCGCTTTGGTGGTGGGTCAGTGATGCTCTGGGGAGGCATATAAATGGAGGGATGCACAGACCTCTACAGGCTAGACAATGGCACCCTGACTGCCATTAGGTATCAGGATGAAATCCTTGGACCCATTGTCAGACCCTGCACTGGTGCAGTGGGTCCTGGGTTCCTCCTGGTGCACGACAATGCCTAGCCTCATGTGGGGAGAGTTTGCAGGCAGTTCCTGGAGGATGAAGGAACTGATACCATTGAATAGCCCCCACGCTCGCCTAACCTAAATCCAATAGAACACCTCTGGGATATCATGTTTCGGTCCATCCGCCTCCAGATTGCACCACAGGCTGTCCAAGAGCTCAGTGACACCATCCGTCGTCTCAGGAGGATGCCCCAACGTTGTCAGGCATGCATACAAGCACGTGGGGGCCATACAAACTACTGGGTACCATTCTGAGATGCTGCAATGAAATTTCAGCAAAATGGACTAGCCTGCTGCATAAATTTTTTTCACTTTGATTTTCAGGGTGTCTTTGAATTCAGTCCTCTGTAGGTTAATAATTTTCATTTCCAACAAACGATGAGACATCCATATGTTCCTAACACATTACCCAGTCCATATCAGTATAGATATCCAGCATGATATTTTTCCCCATTGAGATCTGATGTGTTTTCAAAGTGTTCCTTTACTTTTTTTGAGCAGTGTATTGGATAGAATATGTGTTAGAACCAGTCTTTTTTTGGCTGCAGGTGGACAATATAGAGTACCAGCCTGTAAAACCCTTCATTACCAGACGATCTTTCAGTTTCCAGCACTATGATAATTAGAATTACTAGATAATTAGAACTACAGGTGTACCTCGGTTTACGAACGCATCGGTTGTCGTAATTTTCGGTCTACGAATGAAAATCCATTGAAAATAATGCCTCGGTTTACAAATTTTTTTTTTTTTTTGCAATATGAAGTGTATGTCAGTGCAGATTTTTAAATGCAATTGCTGGCATTTTTTTTCTTCACTATGGCTCACAGAATAAGCTGTCACTTTCCCCAGAGCTAAAGGATACTTTGTTTCTTTTATCTTGGGAAACAAACTAAAAAGAAACATTGTTACTTTTAACTCAGGGAAATAAATTAAAAGGAAACTTTCTTTCTTTTAGCTGGGGGAAAGTGACAGCTGATTCTCTGAGCTATAGTGAAGAAAAAAAAAGCTGGTAATTACATTTAAAAACCGGCACTGACCTATAGTTACAGCGACTTTTTTTTTTTACTTTTATTCTGACCTCCGGAACTGATTAATTGGTTTTCAATGCATTCGTATGGGAAACCGCGTTTCGGTTTACAAATTTTTCACAATACGAAACATCCTGGAGAACGCATTAAAGTTGTAAACTGAGGTACACCTGTATTGTTACTTGGTCATGCAACACTTTACTCATATTAATTTTATAGAATTTTTTTAGAAAGATAGAGCTTTCTTTTAGTGACATTCAACCACAGAATTTTTTATTTTTTTTACTATAAAAAAGGAAAAAAAGACTAAAAATGGTACAATTTTTTTTTTTTTTGTTTTTCCTTCAGTCCTTAAAAAAAATTATGCCAGGATACTTAAACTCCCCTCTCGTGCATGATAGACGCTAGAGTCAAGATGGAGCTTAGTGGAAGGTTCCCTTGGCTCTGGCCTGTATTGTTTTGTAGACGTGAAGTTATTTTCATTCCGAATTGAAATTCGGACAAATTTTTCCTTATTTGGAAATTCGGATATATACACCATATGCCAGTGTTTCCCTGAAGACAGGCTGGGATAGAGCTGGGTCATATGACAGCTATATATCGATTAGGAAAAAGGTACTTATATTTTTATTTTAAATAATTCCATCATCCATATACAGAAAGAGAAGTGATAACATAAATTAAACAGTGTGTGTTTAGTATCACTTTAATTTCTGTTTATTCCACTTTCTCTGCAATAAGAGGAAGGGGGGACTCACAGAGATACAAAGATAAAAACTACATTGTTTACATCTCTGACCACTGTGATTGGTCTCTGTATGACCAATCACAGCGACTGCAAGGTACAGAGCTGCTCCCAGAATGGCTTGGTTTACTGTTATTACCTGGTGAAATGGCCACCCAATGGTGTTGTAGCCAGTGTTGTTTATAAATGGAGCTGGGTAAATAACCATCCAACACGTTACTATTTTTAGACGTACAGTGGTAGTTAGGTGGTTATGTCCTTTTTCAGGGGAAATATTGATGCCATTGTTTAAAGCGAAACTAAAGCCCCAAATAAAAAAAACTGCAAGCAGACAGGCTCTTTTTTGTGGACGAGGCATGAAATGTCTTTTCTGCAATAAAATGAACCTATCTGCCTGTTTTCAGTTATTTGTAGAATGTACACCGAGCTGCGCAGACACAGCTCAGTATGTTGAGCACAGAACCTGTATGTCAGGTGACTGAACTTCAGTGCATGTGCAGGAATAATATCATCTTGTACTGTTCAATCAAGACTGCCGTAGACTGTCACCCGGAAGAAGTAGAGACAAAAAAAATTGCGGCGCTGGTAAGGAACCACGCAGGCATCAGACTGTTTAAGCAGAGGAAAGTATTATGGACTTTAGTTACGCTTTAAGTTCAATGTGTTGTTGTCCTAGCCATGACAAATCACGTTTAGGCACCATTCACACAAGCGTTTAGCCATGCTGTCAATCACAGCAACAGGAATATGATTCTTCCAGGTGGGATTGGCAGCCACTTGCAGATAACTGCGGACCCCAAGCCTGCATTCTACAGGCTATTCATTCCTGCAGCTATTCATTCCTGTTTGCAAAACCAATGATCACATGCAGTGATCATAGCTTGATGCACATGAAATGTGTTCAGCCGCAATCACTGCAGGTAAACCAACTTAATCACTACTACTTTTACATGTAAGTTGTACATACATGTACCTACACTTTAAAGCTGAACTAAACCCATTTTTCAAAAACCGCTAACTGGTAGCCTTATTATGACAGAAGAGACTATATGTCTCTTTTGTCATAAATGCTTCCCCCTGCCTGCCAACTTTGTGATACCTGAG